AACTTTGTCATCCACATGTAATGAAACTTGTTTCTGGAGATGAATATTTAATGAAAGGATTTCAAAATCCAAGACTCGTAAATGCAATTAATGAAATTGCTATGAATCCATCAGCCTTCTTGAAATATAATCATGACATTGAGGTTGTAACAATGTTTAAAAAGTTTACAGAAATTATAGGAAAGGCAAATAAATAATTGGCAATTCTCTTAATCAAGTTGATATATTGTAAAGAATTTGATTGTAGAAGAACAATGAACAATGTGATTGTCTTATTACTAATAATATCATAAATAAAAATGTCAAAAGTTAATGATGAACTAGATTGTAATGAAATTGTTCCACGATTATTTCTCGGAAGTGAAGATGCTGCCTATGCAGATATCAATATATTAAAAGGAGAACCCTATAAATTCACTCATATTTGTGTATGTGGTTTCGGGCTCATTAAGAAACATGAGAAAACATCTCAAATTGAATATCATCATATCAAGGCTGTTGATTTACCAGTTTATAACATTACAAAAGATGTCAAATCATGTGCAGAGTTTATTGACAATGCACTGAATGGAGATGAAAATAATAGAGTACTTGTTCATGTAGGTTTGTTCTGATTAAAATTCAAATAGGAACATATTAACTACAAACATTATCTAAATAATCATCATTGTAATTATATTAAATTATTATTATTAAAAGTGTTCAAGAGGAGTGAGTAGAAGTGCCTCCATAGTAACAGCCTACTTGATGTTGAAGAAGGGAATGACATTTGAAGAAGCATACTATGGTAATGTAAAGAAGAAACGTTCCATTGTTTGTCTCAATCAAGGATTTGCAGAACAATTAAAAGGCTTGTAAATTACTAAAGAACAATAGAATATTGTGGTGATGTAATCAGAATTGAAACAAGCCATCCATCATCACTCTCGTATCGCTGTTGGTTTGTCTCATAGCAACGTTGATGATGTTGGTGTACAACAAGCAGATTAATTGCCATCATGATACCACAATGAACCCTTTATCCGTAAATCATCATTGATTCCAATATTTCAGCAACAATATTTGCGCAATCAGGCATGTTCACAACAAAATGATTGATGGTGATGAGATTGCCAGTAGGGAACAATTGTGTTTTCTTCCTCTTGTTTGCAAAGTTTTTTAGCGGGTTTTTCCAAGTGAAAGAAGAAAACTTTGTTGTTAAAAAAACGAATCACAAAAATATTAGCGAACAAGTTGTTTGCCGCGCTTTTTGATTTTTTCAAAAGTAAAAAAACGATAAAGATTACCATCGCTCCGGTTTTCGTCATCACACAGCAGTAATTTATATAGATCATCATCATTTG